ATTTTTATATATTATAGAATATACATTTTAAATATAAGAGATTGCAAATAACAGTTATGGCAAACAATTTGAAGGGTAAGGGGAAAAAGGAAATAGCCTTTAGCTGTGGAAAGACAAAAAAAGCAACAGTGGAAGGGAAAGTAGATGTGAGCAGGGAAATAAGCTAAATCACCTTTACTGTAGATGTAGGTGAGAGAAACAACTGAAATATCTGAAATAGATGTGCTTCTATTTTGAGAAAGCAATTAAGAGAGACTTTAGAGAAGATATGGGATACAAAAGTGGGTTTAGTTTTGACCTTATTCTGTAAAATGAAGTATTTCCTTAAAATGTACACTAGGCCTTAATAAATTTATTTTAAAATTATCCCATCCCTGAATTGAAAGCAGTGAATTGCTGGAACAAATACATTTACATTTTTAGAAATTTTAAAAGTCTATATATTAGAAATTGAAAATAATAAACCAAGCAACTTCCATAGAGGAGTTAATAAAAATTTTATTGCATGCTACTTATTGGGTTTAAAGACGTGTCATGTGGCTCTCGGAGTCATATAACTTACTGGTGTAAGATTTAATCCTCACGTAGCCCTCAGGTTCAAAGGGATTTTGTTCTTTTCTCTTTGGGAATTCGTAACCCTGGGAGTTATGCGATAGGTTAGTTGATTTGATACAAGAAATAGGGCCTCTTTGAAGATGAGGGTGGACTGCGTGCATGGGATCCTGAGTCATTATGAAACCAGGTTGTTTGTCACTGGGCCACAAACCAGCTCTGACAAGAACAACAAAAAAAATATAAAAGCCCAGGAAGTATCATGTGGTGTTTGGTTGGTTGGTCGGTTTTTTTCTGAGGAGCCGCGTTAAGGTGTTCGCTATTGTTGCAGCACGTTGTTTCAAAGCGAGTCAAAGTTCCTAGCTCATTCAAGTAAGGAACCGCAGCCGCTCATTGTGCACAGTAATACCTCTGCAAATAAAATACTTGGCTTTATTTTTAATTCTCTTTTAAAAAAAATAAAAAAGCAAACACCAGTTTTTCATTCCATATTCTTCAGACTGCAATTGAAGACAATACATAGAACATAAGCTGGATTATTTAAATGACTGGATAGCCGCTGTTTTTTCTTGCTTGCAACAATATAAACATGTGGTTTCTTTGTACCTTTTGCAACAGAAAATCAAACTGCCCAAGAAAACAGCCAGACGATACCCAGCGTATGAGCTCTATCTCTATGGGGAAGGGAACTATGCCGAAGAAAACAAAAATCTTCTATTGACAGGAATTCCAGTTCTCTTTCTTCCTGGGAACGCTGGTAGTTACAAGCAAGGTAAGCTTTGAGCTCAGTGATGTGCGTGTTGCACAGAGCTCTCATATTTGTGCAGTAGTTGGTGACAAGAAGTTTTCTGCTTGAAATAATGTTGATGAAAGCTGTAATGATTGATTGTATGATATAGATATCCTCGTTAGTCCGTGGTTTAGCTTCAAGCAGTCAAAACACATTGTTTTTGTTTGAGATCGATTGAAGAGTTGAGCTACAATATTTTTCTGAAGTGAGACTTTAACTTTTGAGAGCAAGAAACAACAAGTTTATGCTGTACTACGGCAGCAGTGCATGCTTGCTGTATTTCTGAGTGCGACCATCTAGTTGGCTTTGATTCCAACAGCACTTTGTTCAGTCATGCCGTATAAAGCGAGACCTGAATTTGATTAGAAGAAACTGAACAAGCTACCTTCTGTGAAATAAGTATCATCTTGTGGCCTGCCCTGTACTTTCCTGATTTTTATCTGTAGTGGTGTTTTTTTCCTGAGTGTCATCTTCCCACCTTACACGTTGCCTGCTTTTGTTTTCCAGGTTATTCCCTCTTGCACTTCTAGACTCCAAATAAGAAGTTACAGTTTTAAAACATTCTTATTTTTCATTGTAAATACTGAAGTTAGTAATTTGGTGGACATGAAGTATTGTGTTTGTTTATTCCCGTAGCTGGTATTCCTTCCAGTCTGGGTTTGTCAGACTGTTATTTTTGTTCTCTGAAGTGAGCTTTTGAAACAGTAACACTCATGCGAGGTTAACATAACTGTATGTGTGTGGGGGGAAAACCACCACAGTCTAAACCCTGATGTCTTACTTGAATAATTCTTGCTAATATTTGCACTGAACTTAAATTATCTGATTTGAGAGAACCTTTATAAAGTTATTTTCTTTGAGATCACGCTCGCTTAGCTTATAGCAAAGTGAAATATTTTACTCGCTCCTGCTTTCAGAAATCCCGTACAGACTTGCAGGCACAGTAGCATCCAGAGAAGATTACAAACACGATGATTATGAGAGATGCCGTATGGACTTTTGTAACTGTTCATGAAGTATTGCACATCTGTGCTGTCTCTAAAAAATGTCACTAGGTAGGGAATAGAGTGGTACTTTCAGGGCGTGTTAGGAGTCAGAGGGAATTATCTCAAGAAAAAACTTTAGGTGAGCAGAAGCACTACCCGCTGTAGATATGATGTGCTACTTTAGATCAGTGAGTATTTAAGTATCTATTCTATGAGAAATTGATTTAGGGAGAGCGGCAATAAATTGTACATATGTTTTTCAAAATGTTTATGAAAATAAATTGTTCTGCCCTAGTGGTGCAGAATAGTTTTTGTGTTATTTTGGAATTCATAAACATTCGTATTTTTTTGAGACTTGATTGTGGGATAACATACTTTCATTCTGATACCTAGATAAATAAAGAAGGTGTTGCTTTTATTTTCATACTCATTTAAAATATATTCATATTTTCTGTGATAAAATACTTGATCTTTTAAATGCTTTTGAGATCTTTTCAAACCATTTTGAAGGTGTTCTTATTAGCTTTAGATAGAGTTGGTGAAACGATTGACTACAAAAGAGATTTGTAATTTTCATTGTGCTGATAACATCTCTTTGGGTGTTTGAACATGTCGAGTATTTCATAAATATTATTTTTTCGTTTAATGAGCTTTGCTGAAATTTGTTTGATATGTTAATTTCTACAGCAAACTAATGTGAAGGGGCATTTTGCAGATTTCTGGAACTGTTGCACTCTAAATTCTTGCTTTGGTGTCCTGGATTTGGGCAAACTTTTCTGGCCATCATCAGTTATTTTATATATTTGCTTTTGGGACATTTTCTTTTATTTTCATCTCTCCCTACCGTGCTTTTTTTATTTGCAGCTGTCTCTGTTCCCATCCTGCCTTGTCTCCATGGAGACTTGGGGACAGTTGTGCACTCAGAAGGCTGTATGAAACAGCAGCTGGGGTTAGATGGAGAGGACCAGTCAGAAGCAAGAACTTGTAAACACTTTCTTCCTCAAGGTTTTAGGTGGAAAAGTGTCCATTAGGATTTGGTTTTTCCAGTGCCTCATACATACCTTGGTAGTACTTGGGAATGCTGTCCTGGAATTGGTGGCCTTCCCAGGCGATGTAGGAAAGCCCAGCAGCAGCGATGTCTGTGGAGTTGAAGTCAAGAGTGCTCGTTTTGCCACCTCAGATCCCAGAACGTGTTGGGCTGGCAGGGGCCCCCTGCAGTGAGCAGTGACATCGTCAGCCAGGTCAGGTGGCTCTGAGCCCCATCGAGCCTGGCCTTGAGTGCCTCCAGGGATGGAGCCTCCATCATCTCCCTGGGCAACCTGTGCCAGGGTCTCACCACCTGCTCTTAGTGGTGATAAGATGCAAATGAGATGAGAATAAAAGCCCTTGGATGGAAGAACGTTATCCTTGATCTTGTAACAAGTTGATTTTGATGTAAAATATCTCGGTAGTGAGCAGTAACCTAGGTTGCCTTGTTAACTGCCATAAACGTAGCATACTCCTCTTGGCGACTCCTTCCAAAATTTCTTTTAATCTAACTTATGCTGTTCCACATGCTTCTGTGAGCTCTTGTTATGATATGCTTACTAATTTATTTAATTTTTTTGTCAGAAGGATTCTTTTAGAAATAGGAAATAACTATTTCTTTCCTCATTTTACAATTCAGTTCTCACAGTGACTGGCTAATACTTTTCCTCTAATTCTTGATATCTTCAAATCTATTTTTGTAAGACAAGTGTGAGCGCACATTAGAAAAAAAAGTTTATTTTGCTTTTGGATGGCTTTTTTGTAATTTTTTTATCTTATTTATAAATGACTTGAATAATGGATTTAAGATAATATTTGTTTCCTAATGCATTATATATTTATGTGTTTGTCTACTAATGACGGTGCTAAGCAGTCACTGCTAGACTGTTGTAACTGGTGTGATTTCTTTTCCTAGTCCGCTCTCTTGGCTCCATTGCACTTAGAAAAGCAGAAGATGTCGACTTCAAGTATCATTTTAATTTCTTCAGCGTCAACTTTAATGAGGAGTTGGTTGCATTGTATGGTGGCAGTCTGCAACGACAGACCAAGTTTGTGCATGAGTGCATAAAAGTAATCCTGAAGTTGTACAGGGTGAGTAGTAATGCCTGCTGAATAATATACTTGCGTATTGGAATGGAATTCTGGGCTGCCTTTTCTGCTGGAAAACTGAAGAATGATGAATAAGGGAGGGAGACTTTATGATGAGTGTAGAACACTGAATGTGGTAGTCGTGCAGTGGAAAATTGCTGCTCTTCAATAGATTTTTAATGCTTGTGACAGTCCCAGAGCTTTGGTTAGGTTCTATATTGCGTTTCTAAATAAATACTCCCACATACAATGTACCGTGGTTGTTTGTTGTTTAGCAGAGATGTAATCTTTCCCCAGCTTCTTTAATTATGAACAGCATCACCTCACATCCGTTTTTCTCCAGGAGAGTTCCTTGATATCTTAAGTCCCTCAGAGTCTCAGAAATTAAAATAGACTTAGAATTTTTACGCTTACACGGGCTATATAATATTTCCTTTAGAGCTGGAAACCTATCATCTAGCATATTTTTTGAGATAGCAACTAAAATTATATTCATTTTGTAAACTTTTCAAACTGATACTAGTTAATATTATCCTTAAGAGGACATCAGTTAATTTGACAGTTGTGAAGGACCATAGTTCAGTGTCGAATCTGTTTTTGACGTGTCTAATTCCCTTTTGCCCTTTTTTTAAGGATGGAGAATTTGCACCCACCAGTGTTGCGATCGTGGCCCATTCCATGGGCGGGCTTGTTGCAAGGGCGTTGCTGACTCTGAAGAATTTTAAGCCTGAACTTATAAACCTCCTCATTACACAAGCCACACCTCATAACGCACCTGTAATGCCTTTAGACAAATACCTTACTGGTAAGCACTACAGTTTATCTAATTAGATCCTATTTCTTTATTGATCCTCTGGAGTATTAATAGGTGAGATTCTTGCAAATCAACAGCAGAATGTGCTAGTTTGTTTACTGTAATTAATCTGTTCCTTTGTTAATCAGGTAATTGTCTAACAGCCGTAGGGTAGAGAGAGAAAGCAAACTGTCATAAAATGGATTATGTGGACTTGAGCTTTTGGACAGGGCCTGGAGCTCTCAATAATTTGTAAATTTACTAAGTTGCAGGACATGTTAATGAATTTCTAAGCGCTCTAGTGAATGACATTTTTTTCCTTTTATAAAAGTTGACCTGTGATGACTTCTTTGTCAAATGAATTGCCCGAATAGCATTATTTCTGATGAAATTGCTGAATTTCGTGTTTTTCATGCCCAAACATTGGGCATATGTGTCTTACCTACTTACACAAAAGATAGACCATATTTTCAGCTCACCTAAATAACTGTGGCATAAAAATTAAGCATAATCATTATGCCTGTACTATACGCTTCTTGGAAAGCTGGATTTGACTGAACTGTACTGCTGAAACATGCACTCTGGGGTAATTGTGCTGCTACATGTAGATATAAAGGGAATTGGTGAAGAAAAGAGTGGAGACATTTATTTTCATTATTCTCTGTGGCACCCGAGAGGAAAGGATTCTCTTCAGCTGCTGAATTTGATTTATTGCGTTTGTATTAATTCTCCCTCCTACAACTGATTGCAACGCAATGCTGCTTCCTTGCTGACTTTCTGGACTGTGGCTGTCCTTCACGTAAATCTGTGGTTTGCTACATTAACAATATATATGCTGACCTGATAGAGGAAGTGTAACTGAATCTGTCTTTCCCAACTGCTGTCGCCTTGGGGTTAAACCAATAATTTTCTTGCTTTATCTGGATCAAAAGTGATAATCGGAGCTTTAATGCCTCTAGAGGGGGCTTACAGAAACTTCTAATTAAATGTTTCTGTGGATGTTTTGCATATCAAATAGACTTATGGGGGTATTGTGATTGATTTTAATATATTTTATAGATTTTTATACAGCTGTAAACAATCACTGGATTCTAAAGGCCCAAGATTTAAGAAATTTAACTACTCTTTCTGTGGCGGGAGGATTCAGAGATTACCAAGTTCGTTCAGGACTGGCTTTCCTACCAAGATTGAGTCAACATGACAGTGCCTTATCTGTTGTGGTAAAAAAGCAAACTATTTTTTTGATTTTGCATGTCGCTGTGTTAGATAGCTCGTTGTGTAATGCATGTATCGGTGTGTAATTGCAGTCTCTGTGTGCAGCAGAGTGTAAAGGTGAAAACGCGAGGCAGGTGGCGTACGGTTATAAAATCCCAAGTAGTTGATGTAGTATAAATGAGTGTCCACTGGAAGAGTATGTGTTGGGGTTTGTTTTATCTGCCACTTGGTACTGTTTCTTTCCATGACCTTCTCACACCTCTTCAGTTCCAGAAGTCAGATTTTATTTTCCTGCAGTTTTGCAAGAGATGTGTATATGGAGGCTGACAGACGTGCGGCAAAGAAATAGACTGCTTGTTTGATTGTAGAGAGGGAGATCTGGCTAGGTGCCGTCTTCTTGCATTTACTGTTCTTCAAAGACTTTAGGAATAGAAAAGATGTACTGGATCATCAAGTCCAGTCTGCAGCTTTTGCAGGCATCTATCTCCTTCCGAAATTAATCAAGAGACATCATAAAATAGTGAGACTTGTCATTCCATTCACCACCATCAACCTCTTCCCTACGTGGAAGATGGAAAACATTCTCCAGTAGGGAGAAAAAACGTAATTTCCAGCTTGCATTTACAGTGCAAGCCAGTTTTTAAATGCGTTTTTTCTGACATTAGCTTGAAATGTTTTCTGAAATAGTTGTCGTTCCCCTGGTGTTTACCTCCCTGTCCGTTGTACAGAAAGCTGCCTATAAATAGTCTCGGTTCTGATGCTGGTAGGCTGAGAAGATTAACTGCGTTCCCTTTGTCCTAGTAACCACCCTCTGCATCTGCTCCGCTTCTATTTCTCTTGAGTGTTTGTTTGGTGACTGGAATTTTGTGTGAGGTCTCGTGTAGCGGTACCGGTTCTTTCTCACATTTTTTGGTTTGGGGGTTTGGGGGGTTTTGTTTTGGTTTGGGGATTAGTTTTGTTGTTGTTGTTGTTGTTTGGTGTGGTTTTTTTCCTTCCCAGTTGTAATTCTTTAGTAGTTCATGGCCTACCTGAATCACATTGGACAAGTAGGTGATGAGGTCCATTTATGGGAGGCATTTTTTCTATTATCAGTCCGTAAAATAAAATGCCTGCCATACATTTGCACAGATGAGTAGCTCCAAACTGGTTCTTCCTGCATGGTCATCTGATGCTTCTTTCTGTTGAGGATGCCCTTGATTTTTTCAGAAGCAGCTTTCATTGGCATGCTTCTCTTCTTCTGTGCCAGGGTCGCTTATTAAAATAGTAAGATTAGTCACAGAAGCAGTCTTTGAAGAAATTTGTGGTTAAGTTTCCTCCATGCTATTATTTGCCCTTTCACTGTTAGCTTCTGCTATCTAACATAGATAACCTGATCACTTTGTGTAGATGTTCCCTGAAGAAGTCATTCTATTCTACTATATTTGCTGAAGCTCTTAAGATATAAATGCTTTTTGTTTAAGTAATTGCACAAATGTGTTAAAATGAGGGAAAAGACTTGCATAGAATTTTAAAATGTTGAGTACTAACAAAATCTTAACTTTTTTCCTTTCCCAAACAGAGCTCAGCTGTACCTAGAGCCTGGGCCTCAACAGACCATCTCTCCATAGTGTGGTAAGCTAATGGAGCAAAGCTTAACTGACTGACCGTACATCCTGCTGTTCTCTGCTCTTATCACATTATACAATAATTTAACTTCAGTATAATATTATGATGATGTCTCTTCTGGCCGCTTTTTTTCCCTTAGATATTTCCTTTCTAGATTTAATTGTCCTTATTCTGTCTTCTAGGTGCAAAGAATTGATTCTGGCTACCATTAGAGCTTTTTTTGATCTCATAGATGAAAACACTAGGCAGGTTCGTATATACGATCTGCTGTACGTTTCCCCGTCACAATTTCTTATTCCATCCCAGAACCCTTAATCAGGACAAATATCACCCTATTATACAGAAAACTCCTTTTTGATTAAATCATACTGAAAAAGCTGCTGCTGTTTTGTAGCAGTCACTTAAAGAGTCCCACGGCTTTGTGTTGTGTGCCCAACGTGCCAGAAATAATTAGGGGTTGACTGAGGTTTTGTTATTAACTGCTTGCTGTTTTGTAGCTGGGATGTGAACAGGACTTTTCCTCCGTTGTGCAGCAAGTTTAGCTGACCTTGCATCAAGATAAACAGCTTTTGTTAAGTGTGTGGTTTTGAACGTGGCTTCTCCATGCGCGTCCAAAACGCCTTCTCTGACTGGCGTACAAAGGGTGAAAAACTGTGATAGTTTACCTCGGACACAATACGTCCTGAACTTCCCCGTGTGTTGTCATCGTAGCGGCCAGCACGTATTCGTGGGGTTCTTTTGCAAATAGCACTCACAAAGATAGAATTTAAGGAAAATACTGGCATATTTGTTTGCCTCCAGCTACTGTCACTTACTGACTGTTGGTGGCACTTTATTTGTTCAGGTTATTGTATTTACGCTGGACTCAGCGTACCATGTCTTCTCACAGTCTCTCCTGCCTCTCTTCCCCAAAATTGTGTTGCCGGCTATGATCACGTGATGGTTGTAACTCACAAAAATTGGCCCAATAAAACTTGGTAACGCAATCTTTTTTTAGATAACTGAGGATCCAAAGAAGAGAATGTCTGTATTGCATCACCACTTTGTGAGGCACCCTGCAAAGCTATTTGAGGAAAATCCTGAAGCTTTTACAGAACTCAAAGGTGTGCAGCAGTTTTTGTTGGGTTTGTTGGGTTTTTTTAATAGGATTCAATACTACTTCTTGGCTAATAGTTAATTTTCTAACAAACTTCTGGAATACATTTTGTCCTTCTTCAGACATTGCTAAAATTATATACAGATTATAGACCCAAACTCTCAGCTTTTGTGGGGTTTCAGTACTAAATAGTTCAAGAGGCGTAGGAACAAAAATATGTTATTTTTGCATGGCTTAGATTCTGGGGGATGAGCAGGAGTCATATTTACACCAAGATGTCAGGTAGACAATCTCAGAAATTAGGAATAGCTCGATTTCAGAAGTCCAGTCTAATCTACGTGTACGTCCCGTGCTTGCAAGAGGGATAGTGTGGATGTTGTGGAGACCTTGTGTTAGTTTTGTGCTGCTCACACAAATCCTAAATATTCAGATCCGCTTCATCAATGACTTTTTCTAATGACATGGCAGCATAAAAGGGACTGTACAGTAATGGTTTCCTTGTAACTGATACAAATTCATAGTTAAAGAGGAGAAATTTTGCCTGCATGGAGTTTTGGGAACTAAACAGAGCTTTTGCAGGACGCAGCTGCATTCCTGGCTTCGCTGAAGGGGGTTGAACCATTTTATGGAAACCATTTTATTTTAGGAATTTTCCTAATGTAAGCTATTGCAAAAACACTGAGGTAGCTTGAACATCACCGGTGGTCAAGCACTGGGACAAGTGCCGAAAGAGTTTGTGAAACTGTTTTCTGTTTTACTTCCTTTTTTTTGGTCCATTTTTTAGCAACAAAGAGGGATATGTTTCATGTTTGCATCTTCCTGTTTCCCTTGACACTGAATTTCTGTGATGAACTTGTTACTCTAGTTACACAGATGAAAGGTATTAGTCTTCTTACGTGACAATTTACATTGTTCCTGTCTCTGATCTCTACATTATTCTTATTCTTTTTTCTCCAGACATGTCTTTAAACTGCTGCTGTTTTCTGTTCATTGCTGACTCGCTTCTACAAAGTTTCTATGTTAGTTTTCTTACAAGGCTGACAGGAACAAAATTGGGGCTGTTTCTAACATTGCTTCAGCTTTCATCAATCACCCTGTAATTACATTAGTATCATTCAGCTTCTTGTTTTGTTGCCTCGAGAGCTTTGTTCCAGGATCTGTAGGGTTTGTATCTTACGGTTAATGTGTACTAATTGGATCCTGGGGTTTTGCCGTTTACCGTTTAACCCATGGTAAGTGTTGCATGTAGTTCTGAGCACTAGCAATCCTGGCTGGTGATTAAAACTGATGAAGTTTATGGCCTTTTACAGATAAGAGATAAGACCTTGGCAATAAGTATTTTGGAGAAAAGGGTAATAGTTCCTGCAGTGTGGCATATAAAATCCTATTTCTTTTTAGGAGCTTTCGTGTGGATTACGGTCAAAGCCTCAAAATGGACTCATTCAGTTTACAATGTAAGTAACATTTTCTTCCTCCTTGTGTTTTTATGTTTGTTTATTTTTTTACTAACAAGCAGTATTTGGGTTTTTCTTTCTTTTAAGGATTCCAGTGGAAGATATTTCACATTTCCTCTTGCAAGCCACAGAAAATCATACAGTCATGTTTACTGTCAAAACAGTATGTTGGTGAGAAAACACTTCTTTAAAGCCCGCAATTTGTTTATAAAGCTGGTTGTTTTTTTCTTTTAATTTGGATTTGCTGCACTTGTAAGACAATGTGATGAACAGTTGTTGAAATTATTGACATTCATTTATGTTTACAGCCCAATACATTGTGTTAGATGTCCTTCCTGTTTTAGCATGTCACACCTGGTGTTCAAGATCTGAGACCTCCGATGCCACCTGAGCCTCAGATGTTTTATTTTTGACTCTTTTATGGTTAGCCCCAGATTACTTTTGCCTTTTATTTAGTGCAGCTCTCTGTTGATGGTTTTGAACGGAGAAGTTATTTTTAGTGCTTCCAGGATTCAGCCATACTTCTAATTTGTAGGTTTGATTTTTCCATCATAAAATTTAAGTGAGCCTGAAAGGCTACAAACATCTTCTGCTGAGCAAAGGAAGTGAATGGAAGCCAGATGAGAAAACAGCACCTTCTCTGGTGTCTCCTCTAGTGAGAGGAGGGGTGATAATGTGCATTTCTTGTATTTTTAGCTGGAGAAACATAAGTTCAGCCAAAGCGTTTTTGAAATATTTTTTAAAATATTTTTTTAAAGGCATGAATGTATTCTGTTGGCAAACTGGAGATGGATAAATATGCTTTTCAGAATTACGTGAGTATTTTAGATTAGCGGCAAGAAAATCAAGATGCTTTTCCCCTTCCACCCTGCCTGTCCCTGTTGCTGCTCCTGCCCTTACTAAAGAAGAGGTTCATACCACCATTGTGAAAAAAGATCGCATATTCTCAGTGCTTCTCTAATTGTCCTTCCCAGTAGCACCTTAATATTTACACATTTGTTGTGACATTAGCTGTGCTTTAATGGTGTAACCTTTGCCTTTCTTATAGTATCTTAAAGGCAGGACTAGTACTGCTTGAGGAGGAGGAGGTACAGAACAATGTCAGAGTTATTTGCATCATAGTTGCTTCAGAACACTTAAATTCTCAAGCGAGGAGCAGTAGAACATGAAAAACCTGAAGTATTTCTCCACTGCTTAGGATATTATGCTGTGATGTTTGTTTAAGCTAGGAAAAATTAAACTCCAGTAAAATTGAATTTTACATCATATATAAGTCAGATATTTTCTTTTAAGAGCAGTGATGAAAGTTTTCTTAACCTTATATTTGGTTTTAGAAAATGTATTTATTCATAACTAGAAAAGGTGGCAAATGGAAGTTACTTCAAATGGTTCCTAGAAGCCTCCACCTTTCACTCTTAGGCTTCATCTTCCCATCCTTGTAATTGTTATTCCGAGATTATGATATCAGACTTGTAATGGAGGATATCACTTGCTATTCTCGCAGAGTCTGGCTTCATTGTGAAATGAAGAGAAAAAGAGTCGGTGGATAACTTTCCTTATAAATAATTGAGGAAACCTGAGAGAGACTGTTTTTATCATCATCTTGGCTTGTACCCTTCAGCATTTGACATCCTTGCGAGAGTTGGGTCACTATAGCGATAGCTGCCGCAGGCACACCTAATAGAAAAGGAGTGAGATGAAGACGGGAGCTTGTTCTTCTCCTTAGTAAGTTAATTACACCGAGCTTCTGCTGTCAGAGGATTATTAGACCAGTTGCTGACATTTGGTGTGCTGAAACAGTTAGCACGTGGAAATTTCAGGGAAGATTAGTAGCATTAACTCCTGCGTTGTCTGGAGTAAAGAACTGCGGTTTTTAATGTATTTATAAATACAGTCACACATGGGTAATGTGCATCCTGTGGTATTGACCTTTACAGGACACGAGTAGCTGGATTTATGGCTGTATGAACAGTAATTCATCCACGTGGTGAGTATTAACAGTTCCTGTTCTTTGTTCAAGTGGATCTTGTGAGACTGCATTTGAATTTAAAGCATATAAAGTATCCTCCTCCTTAGGAAGGATTTGGGAAGAAAAGTAGAATTCGTACTGTGAATAATTTCTGCTTTCTGCATCGCAAAAAACCCAGGAAAGAGTAGTTTTTCTCAAAATTGCTGCATCAATGCAGAATGAAATATGTGAATGCTTTCTTTTTTAACCTTCGGTTTTGGCCTTCACGGCGGTGAAAAGTTGCTCCTGTTGTTCTCTTGTGGGCACTACGTGCTGTGCTGGATTCCTAAATTGTGTGTTTTGTAGCGTCTCTTTAGAATCCTATCACAGAAGACACCAGATGTCACTCAGAGCCTTCAGATGAGTGGATTGTTTTGGGTTTTTTTTCTTAATCCAAGGTTGCTATTGCCATATGAGGAATGCTTAGGTATGTGAGTGGTTGGGTGATGATTTGAATCAGGTCATTAAAATCATTGCAAAATGGGAACACTGGCTTAGCTTACCATTTGCAGAGTAAGCTCAAAGTAAATTCGGTCTACCCTTTGGATTAGGGAAAGCTTCCAGGTAGTATTTATCTGTCGTGAGACCTGTGCTGAGGTGTGTAGCCACAGAGTCTTGCCTCCAGCTCCTAGCCGGGTGCCGTAACTACTTTTTCCCAACCCAGGGCTCAGCTTGAAGTGCTGGTTAGCCTAGGTCAGGACTGCTGCCTCGGACCTCGTCCCGTAGTGGCGGTTTTGCTGTGCACTGTGTCCCGAGACGATGTGACACTGTTCAGAGAAACACATGTATCCTGGTATTCTAAAAAAACCAAATTAGAATGTCTGAATGAATGTGTTGCAGTTGATTGTGTTGACTTAGTCTACTGTGTGCGCTATTGTAGAAGTGCTGCAAGCTCTGCGGCAGCTAACATTTTTTAGTTTACGTGGTATGGTTTAGATGTTCCCACAAGAAAAGTTGACATTTTTGATGTTTAAAAGATGCTAATGTAACATGACAAATACTAAGTTACAGTTAAAGTTACAATGCTAGTGTAACGTGACAAAGTTACAGCTTTGCTTAACTGGCTTTTGCAAAAACGAGATTTGCAGAAGCTGAAATTACTGTAATTTGACAAATTGCTTTGGTAGCTAACTGCAGTAGCCCCAAGCTTGTTCTCAATTTAAAAGGGTGTGAGTCCACACTGAGAGAGAGAAAAGCTGGCATGTTAATCCGCTGTCCTAGCGTAGTTACACTCACCCTTTAACGTGCACGAATTTTCACAGCCTGGAAGCTACTGATTTATCCTGGAGAGCTGAGTTACTTCCAACCACCAAGGTAAGTACCGTACATGACTTGCGGGAGGGAGAGGTGCTTCGCGGGGCAAGGGATCTGTTCCATTTAGAGCGTCGGAGCATGCCCTTCTGTTCCGGGGAAAGGTTACAATAGGTGGACATCTAGGAACTGGCAAGGGAAGGGTGTGTTCAGTAATGGATTTCCTTTCTTTTTTCTCCCTCCCACTTTTTATTTTATTTTTTTTTTAAGTTTATAGTGCTGAAACTTCAGGACTATCCTTCTTTGTCCCACATGGTCATTCAGGTACCACCTGCAGTTGGTAATAAGGTAAGAAAAAAATGAAACACTTAAATTGCTTACTTAGTGTGTGCATAGCTTCCAGATGCTATGATAGATGGCAAAGGAAATATATTAAATATGTGCTAAGTTACTTTGAGAAAGTACTTTGAGAAACTATAGCCCTACACTCCAGTGGGGTTTGAAGATAACTTTATCTTCTCTAAGCTCAGAAACATTTTTATTTGATAAAATACCAAAGGCAGGGCGTGAGTAGTCCTTAAAACATACAAAGCAATAGTTCTTAAGAGTTCTTGTTGGAAACTCTGATGTTGTTCTTCCTTGTTTTTCATAATATTCTGATTACATTCCTCAATATTTATCTTTTTGAACAGCCAGTTCTCTCACCTAGGGTAGTGGAGAGTGGCGTAGGTAATGGAAGAAAGCACATATGGATTCTGGGGTACATAGTGCCGATACCTCTGCAAGCTCTGAGACCACAAAAATGTGCTAGACCGAGTTATGCAGAGCTTGGTAGTTCTGAACCTCACGGATGAGTTGGCTGTCTTTGCATCAGGGCCTCTCAGGGTCCAGGAAGAGGAACACTTGCCGTGAATCTAAGAAGACTTTGCACGTTACCCAGCTGGGTCTTGCAGGCCTTTCCAGTTCGTCCTGCGAATGGCAGAACGCTGGGCTTGAATTTAAAGTCTAATTAGATCTGACATCCCTTTCTGCGACACAAATAGAGTCTCTGTCTGTGGGATAGCAATCCGTGATCCAAGAAGTTATTCACAGCTGAAGTGATCATGGTGCTCAGTTAGGAGTGTTGTTGAGCCAGCTGTGATGGAGACCTCTTGCAGGTAAACTAGCGATATACAACATTCTAGGGGCGCAAAGATGGAAGAGATATCACTTGTGAAATGTAACCTCCTAAACTGTGGTCCAGTGTTAAACCTTGGAAACGGCTTTTAAGAGGTAGACAAGTGCTGAATTTACTATGGGACGGAAAATAATTTTCAAGTGAACTAAATGTCTGTTAGAGATGGTACATCCGGCCGGATGCTTTGCTTTGCTTTCTGCAAGGTTAAACTTGAGGAGACAAACTGAAGATTCTTTTTGCTTAGGAAGCTCTCAGCTTTTTGAAGGCTGTTGGAAATGTGTGCGAGCTAGAGTGACCTGGAAGTCCTGCTTCAGCTTCCCAAACTTGTACTGCTGTGTGCAGAGACAGAGTGCCTTCTCAGGGGAATGCGGAGAGGTGGCTGCTCGGTATTTGTGTCCTGAGCCTGGGATCAGAATTGGGCAAGTGCAAAGGCTTTGTAGTCTTATGCTTGGTTTAGATCTGTATTTAATATCCTGAATTGCAGTATACTCTGGACTGTGAATTCTTCAAAGAGGATTCCAGAACATTGCAGCTTCCTGTAACACATCTTTTTTCGTTTGGTAAGTATAGCGTATTACTTTTGGAAAACAATGGAAAGCTAATAGTACTAACATTTGGATTATAAATTTTCCTTTAAAATTCCAGTGGTCAGAAGGCTTTTGTTCATTTTTACTGCAGTTAGTGGTGCTTTCTTAGAAAGAGACAAAGAAATAAGAGATGTGGGATTTTTGACTAATGGATATAGAAGAACATAAATATCCTGGTGAAAAAGCAAACAAACCCCCCAAACTTGAACATTTAGTCAATTCTCAAATACTTTTGTCTAATATGTGAAAATAATACATCCTTTACAGGATTTTCTTCAAGCAAAATTATATTAAATTCAACTGGCTTACTTTACAATGTACAGCTCCAGCACTTTAACCAAGTAAGAATATTGCTTAATGTTTTAAGCTAATGCAACTGCTGTTTGGTGAACGTAAGTGAAATTATTATTTATATTTTTTTATGTGTTCTAGATATATCAAGCTTTCAAAATTTATATAGAGAGCCGCTGTCAGTCACTCAAAGGTAAATATGTGTCTTCTAAAGTATAAATTTATAAAACAAAGCTTGCTGAAAACTCTCCAAGACTGACCGTGGTGGAAGCAAACTCCTCTCCTGCAGTGGGATTTGGGCAGTACTCTCTATTCACATAATCTCTGCTGATACCTCTTGCACTTTTTGTTAAGAAGGATAGCTCAAAGCAAGTGTGGAATTAGTCTTCATATGTTTGTTTTTCTTCCTTCTGAGCAAAGGGAACCTGAACTTTTAAGACGATTCTGCGTTGTGTTAAAAGTGTTTCTCAAGAGTAGCGCATTTTGGTAGGGTTTTTGTTTGTTTGCTAATTGTGGGGCTCGCATTTGAAGGATGAGCTATGTAACGGGATACTGAAGGACTTGTGTTTCAAAAAAACCTTAAAAATGATGGATTTAGTAACTTGAGGTTACAGCTCTGTATTGATAAGCAGTTTTCTTAAAACTGTCCTGCCTTTAAACTTTGTCTCGCTGTCTTGTTCTGTAACAGTGTAAGGTAAAACCTGACATTTTTTGTTCAATGCCAACTGCACTGATCTGCACTGCAATGTCAGTTGCAGTGTAACTGCACGCCCAGGGATTCTGTGTAGTGATCTACATGACATTTTTGTTTCACCTGAGTTTTGGGTTTTAGAGACTGTTGCCACATCTTGTTCTTAATTAATTTTATGTTTTAATTCTCTTCAATTTCAGAAAGAAAACCTAGTGTTTACAGACTTCACATACCCTGGTCCCATGAAGACTCGATAATTGTAGCAAAGTAAGGACCTAACAATTGTACTTCTTGATCGGTTTTTCAAGAACGTTTGCATCCTGTGTGGTATTATTTCTGATATAAGACAACTTCTCCAGTCTCATGTGTTTGGCTTCTGCATCTTGTCCTCATTTATCTTTCTGCCCTTGTCGACAAAGTTCTTTTGCCTTGTCCTCTCAAGAAGAACTACTAATTGTTTGTTTAATAATTCTCACTAATTTTTTTCAAGTTGGATTTGCTGGTCTGAAATTTTCATCATGATCTTTTACCCCTTCAGTACCTTAATGAACTTGCTGTTTCAGAGTTCCATCTTTTACGGAGATTTCTGCAAAACTGCATCTTGCTCAGCCTCAGAGTGACAGCAGGGTTCCAGAGCTGAAGATTTACTCTTCCCCAGACTGTCAGTATGAAGTGAGCAATTCAGATTTATTTTATAGCTGTTTTTCATCCCTCTATATTTTTTTCATAACTGAGTCTTCTAAAACACGTAGGTAATTGGCTCTTTTGTAAATATTTTGCAACAGCTAGAGTCATATTGAAAGTTGGGCTCTCATTTCTGAGAAAAACCTTTAAGAGTTTGCTTTTAAAAACAAGTTGGTAGTAAGCTCTTGGACATTTTGCTTATAGGATTACTGTGTTCTAATAATTAAGTTGACTTCTTAAAAATAAAAGTATTTTTTACCTGTGCTTACTATTATATAAAATAATAAAATATTTCTCTTTTTTTTCATTAAGGTAGTTCTGAAGACATCACTTCTGCAGGTTCTTGGGCAAGTAAGAACACCTCTTAGTACTAGATCGTTTTGTGGGGGTTTTTTTATGTCAGTAGCATGTGTAGAAGTTTTCCCTTCCTCCCTTCCCTACTAGGGCACTTCACATTCCTTCTTGATGCCAAGAGGAACACTCTGCAACGATCGCTTAAAGCCTTGTCGCTCCGGAAGGCAGCCCATCCGGATAAATGTCAGGCCTCGGATTTCAGAGGAGTGGAAAAGCACTCTGGCTCTAGAGAGCTAATGCAAATGTCGAGCATTTGGCTTTTAGCGGAATATCTGTAAAGGGATGACATTCCAGGTCATTTTCACTTTCTTGCCTGATGAGTCAGTGGTGTTAAAACTTTAAAAATACATTTGGCATCAACTAAAAGGAAGGGAAAAAAAGTCTAAGTAGATCCATATGCTTCTTTTCAACAAATTTGCTTTGGTTATCAATGAAGAATACGTTTCGACACTGGGATCAGTAAAAATAGACTGCAGCTTTCTGGTTCTAAAAAAGAGCTAATTTGCAAGCACCTAAGTGCGGTGCTGGAATATTACTGGCAAGCTTCTGTATGTGAATGTACTCAGTATGAAGGAGTTTTCATTTTTGTTATAATTGTAGAAGAATTTATGTCTTAATTGCATAATGATGACTTGGGATAGTGGAAGCCAACTAAAACATACATGGAATGCTTCAAAAAATCCTTTGCCCCAAGACATATATATATATATACGTACACACACATATGTATATGTATATGCAGGTTTTGCTTGGACAGTGGTCTCTGAATTTTCAAAAAACATTTCATTTATTAAAATACGTATTTTTCCATATATAACACTACTAGCTATTCATAATTACCAAATACCTATGCATCACATAAACTGAATCTTTTAAGAAAGATTTTCTAATTACAGTGTCGTGCTGGTTTCAAAGGGTAATATTTTTGTATGTGTATGTTTTAAAATATATTTTTACGTATATACAGTAAAAGGTTTTCTTATATCCTTGTCTTTCAGGTAATAAGGTTCCATGCTGGCGCTCTTCCAGTCTATGTTATTTCTAACATTCTTCTTACTTATGGAGGACAACTGAGCACATTGGTATCAACAGGTAGCTAACTAGAAAAAAATAGTTTTTTAGTCACAAATTCTTTTAGGAAGGTTGCTCGTCTGATTTACTGTTGCAAGGCTAGCTAGTTGTTGTGAATTTTTTTTTTTAGACTAAGTATCATTGAACTTGTAAAGTACTTGGATCTATGCTTTCCAGTTCAATTTTTTTGTTTGTTAGTAATTCTCCAAGGTTGTTGTTCTAGCAGAATATTTCCTTATTATTTACTCTGCGTCCTTTCTTTGCAAATGATCAGTGTTGCACAATATTTTAGAATTAATAGAATTCTACTTAAAAACACATGTAAAAGTTTAAAATACATTGTTAATAAGCACAAAACACTTTATTTCTTGCATAAAGATGATCTTTGCAGACTTTTAGACATGTCTTCAGACAAAATACGTTTTTATTTAATTTCAGGTGTTTTGTAACACATTCTGTAAGTTCTTGTGACATTTTACCTGAATGTGAGCGATCCAGTGAATAAGGGCCTTGATGATGAAGTGTGCTGGCTTACACTACTGTTAGAAGACATGGTTATCTTGTTTTAAAGTAAACTTTCAAACCTTTGTCTGAATTTCCTTTTTGTTGTGGTTCTTGTTTGTTAAAGTTCATGATGGAAGAGTAACTGTAGATGCTTTCTGTTCTTGGTTCTAGGGCAGTGTTCGGACTTCTCCCATGAACTAGTCCGGACAGCTAAACCCTACAAAACAGAACCACTTATAAGCCTTGTTGTGCTTCTGCACGGGTGAGTTTGCATAACTTCGTTATTCAAAGCAGTTTCGAAAACAAATGTTTCAGTAAAACCACTGGCGGGGAGGAATATTGTATCTGTAGTCATTGCGAACATTTGACTGTGCTTTTGTTTGAAAAGCTGTAGCAAGAGGAATAGTTGATATATGTCTTACTGTGACAGTGATTGGAAGTGATAAGTAACACTGCTTTCATGTTTTTGGCAGGTTTAACTGGTTTAGAGAGATGTGGGAATCCTTGTCCCTCCCCGAGGTGGATGCAGCTGTACTGAGTAGTCAGGATGCATGGTTCCCCCTCGTGTCCCTGACTCTATTTCTTTTTGGGACAGGCATTGCCTATTGGAGTGGAGTATTTTTCTCTACATCTCTGAGACTCTTCTCTTCGTTATGGTTTGCTGTGCTTAGGTAAAAAAAACCATGATACTCTGTAGTTATGCTTGTTTAGATGGCTGTGACCCTGTCAGTTGTTTGGTTTTTTTTCATTTGCTTCAGTGTGAATGCTTGGGCCGGTCAAATTCTGCATTGTAACTCGTACGTGATTTTAGCCACCTGGGTTCGTCAGTGCCTCATATTCCTTATTCCACATCTCCAAAAAGGAACATAAATGACTTTCTTGTTTCCTTCACCAGCCGTTATGAAGGTTTTCAGTTAGTTTGCTGGGGAAAAGAACGCAACTGAACCTTTTTTGGCAGCTCAGAAAGTACATGTATGTGTTTAGAAAAGAGACTATAGGCATTGCAATTCCTTCCTCCTTGTTCGTACTGGATAAATTGCATTAAAGAATGCAAATGGGTTTGTAAACCAAAAACTTCTTGGGTGTCGATTTCAGTGTTATAAGGTTGATTAGTTTTACAGATCTAAGAATACCGAAATGTTTTTGCTTGTAGAGATGAGCATTCAAATACGTAAGGGTGTTGTAAAAAGCGAGGAAGATTAAAAGAATTTTGGAAGAGTGAATTAATAAACTGGGTAACGTGCTTAGCTATCTTAACAGCTTGTCTGTTCTGACACTGATAACAGTCCTCAGCTAGATTTGGGGCTACTCTCTGTCTCCAGGGAGCTGGCTGGGCCTCGCTTTACTCAGAAAATATCTGCTATTTCTTCTCGGCCCTCTTGTTTATAGATTACAGTGGATGTTCAGAAATGTCAGTACTAGTTTTACGTGATGAAGTGATAAACTTCTAAGTTTTGTAGTTATTCTTACTGAACTTCTAAGGGTTTTAGCTTGATTCATACCCTTTTCATTAAAGCTTTTAATTTCCTGCAAACTGAGAATATCTTGGGCAGAGGCAGGAAAGTAAGATTTTGGTGTGCCTGCCTGTAAGACAGCTGGTGCAGTTTGGAGTTCTGGTGCCTCACTGTTGTGATTTAACCCCAACCGACAGCTCGGCCCCCACCCAGGCACTCACTTCATCCCCCTCGGCGGGATAGGGCAGAGAGTCGGAAGGGCAGACATGAGAAATCTCAGACACTGAGATACAGACAGTTTAACGGGTAAAGTAGAAGATGCACATGCAAGGGAAGTAGAACAAGACAGTACCTTACAGGGGTTTTGATCTAGTCCTGAGTTTCTTGGGGGGGAACAATTTCTCTGTGAATCTCCGTGAAGTAGATAGTGCTCACCTGAGTTTTGCTCAGTGTTCTGGAATGACCCGATACTGCCAGTGACAAAGAATTTGCCGGTAGCTTTCTGTGGAGCTCTTTGACAACTAGCTTTCTCTCTGCAGTTATTTTCAATATGTATTGCAAAGGCTTTTACAATTGTGTTTTCCAAATAATGTTTTGTCTGTTTTCAATGTCTCTTTTAGTACTGTAATGTCCTGTGAATGTCTAAGTACAGACCTTTTCGTAGTTCTATTGTGTTTCATCCTCACCTTGTCACACTTCATTCTGGAAGGTGCAAGATTGTTTTGTTCATTTGATAAGAAAAGGTTTTGGGTTTGGAGTTTTTTTGTGTATGTTTGTGTTTGTTTGTTTTTTTAAATAACTAGCCTATGTAGCAGTTGGCATGTATGTCTGACCCAGCACCATTCTTTGATATTTCTATTTTTGATGTTGTCATTGTGACAACAGCAGTATAACACCAGTTTTGTCTTGTTTCATCTTTTTTTTTTTCCTTTTTTTTTTTTTCTTAGACCTACTGTACTTCCAAAAGATAACAAGTTGATTACACGAAGAAGTCTCTGTGGAGTCTTATCTCTTGCTTTGGTTAGCTGGACCACATGCGGTGCATTTGCTGTGTTGATTATTTATCTTCAATACTTGTTTAAGGTACTGAATTCAAAATTTTGTAGCAAAACATTCAAAGCAAAAAAACCAGATTATCGTTTTTAATACTTAAGAATTATTTGCTCACTTAGAATAGGTCTTTTGTGAATATATCAGACTCTCACCATCTTGTGATCTTTAGGTTTTCTGAGAATGCTTTTTCCAGATAAATGTACAGTCCTATATCCTCGCTACAATAATGCATATAATTGTGATTTTTAACTTAGGGATAAATAACGTTGTAAAATCAAAGACTAATAACTCCCTTGAAGAGAAATTTTAGCAAAGGGGGGACTTGGGCTGTTCTGTTGAACACTTTTTATATTTAAGGACGTTTCTGAAATCTTTATGGAGTAAAAGGAAGCTGGGTGGATATACTGTGGAATTCTAGTAGTTTTACCGGGTGTCTAACGTGATGCCTTGGTTAGTGCCACAGAGACCTGTATTTAGTCCCTGCTATTCAGCTTCCGAGGTCTTCCTTGCATCAGCATGTCAGACTTCTCTGATTCAGCTTATGGTTATGGAGCTGCGAAATCAGGCCCGGTACTTAGCTACCAGGCCCACATTGGGACACCTGCCTTGGGAGTAGGGGCACGAAGCAGAGCAGCTTACATACAGGTGGTTCCTGTAGTCTCTGTCAAGCACAGTTAAAAAGGAGAAAACAGAGCAAGCGTTAAGTTTTTCTCTCCATGCTTGGACATCTTTCCTTAAGAGAGGGCTTTGGATGGTGACGACAGAAAAATCAGAGAGAGTGCTCGCATGGCAGCTCCATTGAGGCTTTAGGATCATCTAGTGATAACAAGGGTCCAAAAGTAAATAGCGCTTTTTTTTTCTTTCTTGAGTGTTGAGGCGTTTGTGTGAGGAAATGTTACTAAAGAGAAGCTTAACTGCCTGTCTTACAGGTTGTAAAACTACATGTGAATGTAAGAGCAGAACAAAGCATGCTGAATGGGGTAAGTCAAAACGGTGAGCAAAGGTTGTTTGGCACACCTGTGCCTTTTTAATTGTCATCGCCCTGCCTTGGTGGCATTAGGTTGTGCAGCGATAACTGCGTGGCTGCAGTTAACGTATCGTGTGGGGGGTGTCAGAGCAACTCCAGGGCACAAGTAGCCTGTTCCATCACACGTGACTACTGCAGTCGCTGTACAAGATCACTGCAGTGTGAGCTTGTCCAAAGTTCATTTAAGAACAAAACATGGTCTCTGAATACATACAGAGCAATAGGTTTTGTCTAAATTTTGGTGTTTGATTATGCATTCCTCATCTACAGAAATAAATTTAATTTCTATATAATGGTCTGTACTACAGGTAAATACTGTTTTCCAGGTAAGTAGTTTGTGGAGTTCAGGGCTTTTTTTAAACAGAAGATGCTAAATATGATTTAGTAGGTAGGTATAGGCTGAGGCTGTAATTTGTAAATTGGGAGCCAATTAAAAAGCATTGGATTTCATGCACTGTGAGCAAAGTGTAGGATCCAAGGTGTATCCAATGTGTGGATACAAGCATATAATAACTACCTGTTCTTTTTTACAAATACAGTTAAAGTGGTCTGCCAGAAAAAGTTGTTGGCAGTTTTCTTTTGTTTTTTTTTTGGTTTTAGGTTTGTTTAGTCTTAGGTCCTTTCCACCCTTTTCCATCCTTTCCATCTCTTCTTTCATGTCCATAGAGTTTTTTGGATTTGGTTTCATTTGTGGGTTGTGGGCTCTTCCTGTCACTGGAAGTTAGCATCTGCCAACTCATAGTTTATCTTTGTTATTTATTCCTTCAGCTAATGTTTTACTCCCGGTTGTATTACCTTCTTTATCCTTTTCCATGAATGATCCCCATTTTCATCTGCACACTTTATTACTCCTTTTATTCTGTTCTTCCTCCTTCCAGGAACTCCATTTCTTATCACTGCATTGGTGGCAGGGCATCTCCACTCTCCATTCTTTTCTTCGAAAGTCACATAAACTGTTAGTGTAAGAGAAGTTTCTGGTTAACTCTAGATGCTTTAAAACTGAACTATTGAACTTTGCTTTTGATGGCTTTTTGAGAGACAAATTGCAAAATTCCTTCCTCAATCAGAGCTGTTATGCTACTGTTGTGACAGTTTTCCCTCCTCCTCCCCCACCGTGGGTTCTTGCGAGCCTTTATGACTCTTGCCTTTCATTTTCAGGATTCAGGCTGCTCAAAAGAAACTTCATGGAACTCCAGAATACACACAGTCAAAAAACAGAGTTTGATGGACAGTACCTCAAAAGCAACACAATCTCTTTCCAGCAGTGCGACAATTGCTGAAGCCATTAGCAGTCTTAAGATGCATGTTACAATTCTCAATTTATTCACATGGATTGTGTTACTCAACTTGCCATCGTTAGTTTACTGGTTAAAAAATCTCAGGTAACTTCTTATATTACCAGTAAGGTGGGAGAAAAGAATATGAACCTTTGAAGAGAGTAAAAATTGCAAATGTTTGACTTGTTACATTATGTGGCTTCTGTTAATTATAATTGTTTTTTTCTATGTAATCTGGATTATGTTATGGGAAGATGTTAATTCAATCAGTCATATGCTTGCAGGAAGGAAAGGATTTGAAGTCAGGCTGGGATGCCATATACATTTCATGTATGGTTGTTGTTCCCAGCCTGGCTTGAATTTGGTAGCCCAGTTTAGAAATAATGTGCTTTTTAAACCATTTCTTGCAGGTACAACGTTAGACTTGATCCTGATCCATGTAGATCCACAGCTATTATCCTTGTGTGCATTTTAGAAATTCTCATGAATTCAAGCACTTCTAAAGTGAAGTCAAGGTACTGTATCCTAGTCCTGATTATTTTTTTTTCCTGTTTCTTTCTTACTACTTCTATTTGCACGGTAAAAATGTATGCTGTACAGATATTAATTGTTCAGCCTTTGTAGAGATTCATAAGCTCGTATGGCTAAATCTGACAGACTGGGTAAAATGCATGCGAATTATCCGTAGTTCACCTAAGTGGAGAAAATCATTAGCGTTAACCACATGGACTTATAGTTTAGATGGCAAGTACTTCATTTCAGTTGTGTAAAGACTTCTTTCCCAGTGGTGTTTTAATTCACAATTCACTGGATCCTTCCAAATGTTCCAGAATCCTAATGCATTTAGCAATTACTTTCAGAAAGTTACAAGGAGAAGCGAATTCTAAACCATTAGGGTTATGTTCTTGTAATTCCCCTCTTACGGGAACACTTGTGGAAATTTAAAGTGCTTTGTGCTGGACTGAGAAATTTTGAGTGCTTGGTTTTTCTGACAGGTAGAGCATTTCTTGTTCAAATCTAAGACTGGTGCCTCATGGAAGAAAATGAGTGATAAGCAAGAGTTTATCCTCTTGACTGGTACCTGTTAACTCAGATGATCTAAAACATTAAATCTTTCTTTGTGACAAAGAAGTTATTTCTAAGTTAATATAAGAATAATTTAAAATGACATTATATTAGACTTTTTTCTATGCCTGCCCTTACTTATGCATCAGCTTTCGTTGCTTGTTACACCTATTTGTTCAGTTTTCCAAATGGACAAATCCATGAAATCTATAAATTTTCCAAAAGGAAGTGAAATATGATGTTCACGTACTTTCTGCGTGTGTGGCTACAAAAATGGCAACTTTTTTCTTTCTATTCTTACAGTAAACTCTTGAAGATCACAGCCAAAGTTCCGCTCCCCTTGTCTGTTGCCATGTTGGCCTTTGGACGAATGCACTTATACAGGATATCGCACTTTGTAATCTTTTCCCTTCTTCTACACATGCTGTGTTGTATTGTGTAGTGTTCATTCTGCATAGGAGGAACGGTGCAGCCTAGAAAAGATGGGGCAAATTTCAGCGAAGAAATGCCTACCTGAATCTCATCAGTAGTTTATGTGACGTGGGAAGGAGGACAGGACTGGGAATACTTTGTCAGAAGTTTGTGGTTATGTTCACGTCGCTTCGGAAGCTTATCATGGTGTTTTATTTCCCGACTGTGACCATGAAGTGAGTTAACTGTGTGTATGAGCACATAAGTGATATTCGTGTAGCATCTCAGTTCTCAGTTTGCCTTGTAGACACTTTGATATTTCACTCTACTTTGTTGAAACGGACTTTTTTTTACTCGCTACACCATACAGTGCGTATGTTCTGAACTTGCATCTCTTGCAGGTCTAAATTATGCTGGTTAAAATTCAATACATTTCAAGCACACTGTGACTATCACAAAAAGTACACAGCCAAGTATACTCTTGATCATTTTACGTTAAATTTTAAATCTGCCACATTTGTGTTTAGACAACCTAGAATGTACTGCTTGTATAATACTGTTAACTTCTATCAAATCATGTGTTCAATCAGTGTGAGTTGAACATTTGTGAGATTGCTAAAAGTCTTATACACTTTACTTTTTGTGAGAGTGAGGAAACAATTGATATTCTGTGTAGCTTTCTATTGAGGAAGGATACCAGCAGATTCAGAAAAAATTTGCTGTAATGTTGTTTTAAAACATTGCCAGTTTTCTGCGGAATTTTGTCAATTCTGAAATTACTCCTCGGATCTTGTTCATTTTGTAGAAGCTAGCAAACGCTGAGGTATGATGTGAGTTTATCGCGTGGTTGCTGTGCTGCCCTCTTTCCAAGTAGACAAGGCAGGGTTTTTTCCTGTTGTAAATGGAGAATCAAGTGTCTCATAATAAATGCTCGTACATGAAATGACTATGGAATAGTTACAGCCTTGTAGATTCGTGCCCTGCCACGCAGTGCTCACCTCCTCACCTCTTTGTAACCGTGGGAAATACTGACAGTAATTATTAGCTCTGTGTAAAGTATTATCTTAGTGCCTAGATGCTACAGTGACTGCCGTTTGTAACAAAACCTAAAATAGCTGTGTGTAAGGAATTCCGCCCCCTGGGGATTGTGTTTTACTGACACAAGAAATCTCGGTAGCCATTGGGTTAAAATGATGTGTTGATTTTGTGTAGAGATCAGCCTACTACTTGCTGCTGTTAGCTGTCTCCGCTCTGTGTGAGGTACCCGTTGCCTTCATATGGAAATACTAGACCAGCTCAATCATCTCGTAGGAGTAGTAAGAGGAAATCTGCCGCCCGCAGTCAATCAAGTATATTCTCGATGCAGTAGTATGGCCGGCCCGACCCATTCCGTTTGTGCTATCTCATGAACCTTGCCCAAAGTGCCTCGGTTAGCTCTGGCGTGTTGTTAGCGAAACTTCGTTTGTGCTCTCTGGACACACTTGGCTCACAGTGACTCTCCGAAAGGAAGGACAAACATGAAGTAGGCACCTGTTTTGTGTGCTTATATACAAGTCTGCAGATCAAGCTATCAGTAAGTCATTAAAATCGCTTTAACCGAGTGAGATTATTGTAGTTAACTAAACCACTGTCACTGTTATTAGTAATCTGTGTGCTGGTTTTAACCTTTTTTAAAAGGTTAGATTATACATAGTATTTCTAGATCTGAAAAGTGATTTGAATGGATTCTTTCTAACCAAATGTACGCTGCAGTATATGTATATAATATAATGGGTGTGTCTGAATATACTTGTAGCTAAATCCACGGATTTAACCTAAAAATTGCCACTCAAACATAGAAGAATATATTATTTTTTTCTGCTTTCAAATGGCTGCGAATGGAAGACGGTGGCAGAAGTGCCTTGGGGCTGGTGAAAGGCTGGCTGTGAAATGAGCAGGATCTGATGTACGTGGGTGATCATCTTCCTTGGCCTTCCGTCGTCCTTTTGTCTTACTCCTGGATATTACTTCCAGTTTGGTTTTGCGTTCTCAGTGGGCTCTTTATGCACGAGTCCATTTGTTGGAGCTCCTGGAATAAAATAATAATCAGAATAAGGAGAGCAAACGGTCTCTGCATGTAGTAGCTTCGATAGTTTCCCAAATCTGCCCCAACGCGAGACTTCTGATTTACACCAGTGTAGAATAACACCAATTTTTTCATTTAATTGTACCTTAAAATCTTGGAATTTTGTTGGTAGTTTTTACCACTCTTCGTAAAATGGGTTACAGAATCTTGCCTAGATTCTTATTGCAGTCTAAAATTGTGGGGTTTTTTTTCAGGTAAAATACAATGATTGTTTGTTGTTACTTTTGGAGAAGAGGCTTCTGGTACATGGGTTTCTAGTTCTGCTGCTGTTCACAATTACAGTCTCAGCAGAAACGTAGCTAACCTGCTGTAAAGACTTTTAATTGTGTGTGTGAGGAAGTGTAAATATTACTGAAATATCCTTTATTATAAGTAGGTTGCATTTACAAAACAGCTTTTGGCAAACTGTAATGTTTCTTACTGCCTTTAAATTAAAATTCCAGCTTATTCTTCAAATTTTAGATATCTAGACTGGGTAGGAGAAGATGGAGACACAAATCAACTCATAACGGATTAGACCTCTGTTCTGTAAGGGAGGATCTCTCTTAACCTCCAGACTCAAATTCTGTTGTTCCCTCCTTTTTCAGAGGTTGAGGTGTTAATCTTGCAAAACCGCTGTTCTTTATCCGTGTGGGTGTTCAGCACATTTAGATGGAGATTATGCCACATAATCAAGCATTTAGGCTGAGATTAAGCCACCATTTTCTGGCTGTGTTGCCCAGAATGAATTAAAAAAAAAAAAAAAGATTGTTTGTGTGGCTCTTTTGTAATATTTTTATAAGCTGTTGAATAAAAAAGCAGGGTAAGAACCAGGAGTACTAAATGTCACTAATTTTAGGTACAGCATACACGTACGGCAGAATCTTTCCCCATCGGGGCAGGAGGAGATTTAATGAGAAACTTTTGGCCACGCCTCCATACCCTGAATCGCTCCTGAAGTGTGGAATTTTGTCTGGCTGATGTGATCAAACCTGTATTCCTCACAGTCTCACCACGCTGCTGCCGTAGTAGCTACACGTGCAGCTGAACAGTTCGGAAAAGGCCTCTGTGTGTCTGGTGAGGAAAATCCGCTCCCTCTTGACTGGAGTTATGGAATGTACCTTGAAATTGCAGGAATGGACGGTGTCCAAAGGTGGCGATTTCAGTTTTGATTTAAAAGCTGGTTGTGCTATGTCAGGTTTCAGCATCCTGTTACAAGGGGAATTGGCTTTGGGTTTTGGTTGGGTTTCTTCGTTTGTTTTGTTGTGGTGTTTTTTTTTTTAAAAAAGCAGTAACTGGAATTTAAGTTAATATTATTTCTAATATTAACTAATAGTGATTTGGGGTTTGAGTGAGCTGATATACAAACCACTTATTTGCTAAGCTTTAAAACCAACAAATGAATTGCACAGCAAAACCCTAAACAGTGTAGGAGTAGGAGTAGTATATTGCAGAAGGCGTAGAGACTGCCTGTATGTCGAAGTGAACTTTTCAACTATAACTAATTGGCTTATGTTTTAAAATCAGTTTAAAAAAGTAAAATGAAAATATACCGACACTTAAATTAAAAAAAACCCATTGTTGCATATGTCGATATTTGATACGAAGTCTAACTTCCCATGTGTATGCCAGCAACAAGGTTATGAACTTGTTGCTTGACTTTTTTCTGAAATCTGGTACATCTGCTTCTAAGCTCTGACAGGAAGAGTAAAGTCAATCATGTGCCTGTGAATCAATGGAAACTTTTGAGAAGCTTTCACTTGATCACGTTTGTTTCAATACAGTGATGGGCGTGTTTAGGCTTTTTCTTATTTATACTGACACAGCTGAAAGTGCATTTGGAAGTGGTTATAGTGTCTGTACAACAATCATGCTGCTGTTTCGAGTCACCAAGCTACTAGAAAATTGTGGGTTGTAAACCAGACTAAATTCTTAATGCTTATTTTCCATTTCCTGGTCAATGCCAGTCTCTTAATTTACAGCTTTGACTTTTTTTACATCTCTTTTTTTTTTGTTCTGGAAGGTAATCAAGCTAGCCTGTATAAGCACTTAGTGCTGTACTATAAAAGGTTTCAAAACTCATCACCATTCTTTTAGGGGAGACGTACTTTTGTCGCCAAAGCTACGTGCTGCTCTTGTATGCCTCTGGAAGGGTGTGCCAATGAATGAGAGATGAAAACAGACCTGGTTTTATGTTAGAGTAAGGCAGTTTTTCTAGCTTTTTCTAGAGCCAGAACTTTAAGCTACTGTTCTCAACAGAATTCTTAAAATCGTCTAAAAAATTTATCTGAAAACATTTAGAAACACTGTATTTTCTGATGTATATTCTTTTGATGGGAGAATGTATTCAAAGCTTTTAATCGGCTCATTTATCTTAAAGCTTAAATAAAATCAATAAATTTCATCTTGTTAATAAACATTATTGCTTTTAAAAACGTATTTTAAGCATTTAAGGAGAGAAGTCTATAGCTCTTACATAAGCATATCTGCCCAGCAGCTCAGTTTTTCAGATACCTAAGCTCATTACTGCCTTGTAGCATGGAAACCTGAGTCAAAGCTCTGATGTTTTGACCCCAGTTTCACTTAAGATTAGTTTAAGAATGCAGAATGATTTTGCTACTCACACTGTCATGAACAAATCTTGTAAGCACGGCCTCTCTACGGTTATTGGCAGGTTGCGGTCCAGTTCTGTAGGAACCTGTGGTACCAGGGCTACTTTTGCTTCCGTAAAAGTCAGACATAGAGTTGTTATTCGGTGGCGCACTGTTCCAGTCCCTCCTTCTGTAGGTGGTTATCTAAGATTTGCATGTCAGCAATGACTTCCTCCTTCCCCCAACTTAAATAATTTTGGGGTGTGTGTATACTAAGTATCCCATGTTAAGTATCATATATCATATGTTAAGTATCATATCTTAAGTATCATATGT